TCAAAAACAAATAAACATTAAAAAAGAATTAAAAAGGGGCGCCTGGGTGGCTTAGTCGGTTAAGCGTCCGACTTTCGCTTAGGTCATGATCTCGCGGTTCGTGGGTTCGAGCCCCGCGTCGGGCTCTGTGCTGACTGCCAGCTCAGAGCCTGGAGCCTGTTTCAGTTTGTGACTCCCTCTCTCTCTGACCCTCCCCTGCTCACGCTGTCTCTCTCTCTCTCTCCTAGAAATAAATAAAACATTAAAAAAAAAAAATTAAAAAGAAATTCGTGCCCAGCACATAGTGAATACTCTTTTAGGGTTTCCTGTTTGTTACCCAGCTCCCGTGGAAGGTGGGGCAGCCCACAGTTCTGAAAGGGATGGAGGTGTTCTCACAGGGGTTCTTTTCCCGGCCCAGTCGGTCCCGTCCAGCCTGACCACATGGGGACAATCTGGTAGCTATTCCAGCAAAGGGCCTCCCTGGGCAGAAACTGTAGGCCTGTTCATGACTTCAGCCCCAACTCGGGCTTTATTTGGGACACAGAGGGATCGGACAAGAAGGGGACGGGATTTCTCAGCAAGGAGACTTCAGGCAGGGGATTGACAAGAGTCGCACATTCTTTGAGGCAGATGTGGAGCCCGTCCTGTTAGGAGGCGTAGAGAAGTCTCAGGGTGTAAGTACATGTGTGTACTTAGATGTTAGCACACGTATGTTCACGGTCTAGGGACCCTGTGCGTTGTCCCAGGTACTCCTGAGTGGCGTGTGCCAGACAACCTTGAACCCAGCGGTGTGATATAACCATCATTACCCTAATTCTGGGGGCTGGGGTAGGGACTGGGAGGGCACAGGGGTATAGCCCGTCGCTCCTCCACAATGTCCGGACGGCGGCAAGAAGACTAGACAGCTAGAGGCCCCGGCTGGGATCACCTGGAGGTGTCTGTCCTCTTCATTCAGCCGGCGGTCGCTGCTGGCTGCTGGCTGGGCCTCAGCTAGGGCAGGGAGAGGTACGTGTGGCCTCACCACGTGGCCTCGGGCTGCCTCACAGCATGGCAGCCTCAGGCTGGGCCAACTCCTGCCGTGGGGGCTCCGGGCTCCAAAGGTGGGGCGTGCTCCAGCTAAGACAGCAGACACTAGATCGGCCTGTGAGGCCAGGCCATGGAGGCCACATGGCGCTATTCCAGCCACATTTTCCCAGCTACAAGCAAATCACAAACACCCCAAATTCAGTGGGTGGAGGACTAGACTCTACCTTTTTTTTTTTTTTTTTTAATGTTTATTTTCAGAGAAAAAGAGAGTGTGCACATGAGCAGGGGAGGGGCAGAGAGACAGGGAGTCAGGATCCAAGCAGGCTCCAGGCTCTGAGCTGTCAGCACAGAGCCTGACACGGGGCTTGAACTCATGGACTGCGACATAATGACCCAAGATGGCAACCGACTGAGCCACCCAGATGCCCTGGAGATTGATTTCTGAATCCGCAGTTTACAGCGCAATTATAGGGGGGAATAAATGACGACTGTTATTGAGCTAAGTATTGTACCCTATTCGGTGCAGCTGAAAAGGGTACGGGATGCCCGCAAAGGCCCCCGTCTTATTTATGGCGAGGGCGCAGACTCCGAAGCCGGGCTCCGAGTAACCAGGCCTGGGCTCCACCACTTCCTAGCAGGTTAACCTCGGGCAAAGCTCTCACCTCTGCCACCTTGTACCCTCACATATAAGGTGAGGTAACAGCACCTTCCTCTGAGGGCAGCTGGGATCTAAAAGCAGCGGGTGCCTGGAACCCAGAGGCTACTAGTCCTGGGGAGGGGGACGGGGGGAGGGGCGCGCCAGCAGTAGGACCCGCCAGGTTTCACAACGTGGCACAATGCTGACATCTAGTGGCCAGTTGACGTGGCTCGTTCTTTCTGGGGCAAAATTATTCCAAAGGAACATAGCCATATTCTGTGACGTAATACCTCAGCTCCAGGCCTTCCTCTTCAGACTCTAAAGCGCCCAGGTATTCCAGAATGTGCTAGAACAATGTACTTTTGCCCTTGGAAGCAACTGATTTAAAATGAGATATCCTGCAAGGTACAAAGCGCAGAAACTGTCCAGGAGAAAACGGTTACTGTTTCTTGTGCACTTAGGCGAGGCACTCTGGGCCTCGAGACCATTCTCTGAAGTTAGCCTTATGCTTCTCACTTTATAAATGCAGGAACTGGGGCCTGGAGAGGCTCTGTGACTCGCCCAGGGTCACAAAGCTTGTGAAAGGGGCCGGGCTCCAAACCCAAGGTCTGGGCCTAGGGCCGGAGCTCCACACCTGCTCCCAGCCCACTCCGCACCCCAGCCCTCTTCTTCCCTGCGGGAGACCAGAGAGCTGCAGCAGCGGGAAGCCGGCGGCTACCGAGGGGCAGAGCTCAGGGACGTCCCATGAGAGATCTGCCCTGAATGACACTGGGGACCATCCCAGGGGTGGGAGACTGGGATTCTCTCATGGAGCAATGGGGAGAAGAGGCCAGAGGCACCTGTCATCTCAGATGCAGGAGAAATTGATCAGGGGCGCCTACGGGCTCAGGTGGTTAAGCGTCCAGCTTCAGCTCAGGTCATGATCTCATGGTTTGTGAGTTCGAGTCCCACACTGGGCTCTGTGCCGACAGCTCGGAGTCTGGGAGCCTGCTTCCGATTCTGTGTCTCCCTCTCTCTGCCCCTCCCCCACTCGTGCTCTGTCTCTCTCTCTCAAAACTAAATAAACATGAAAAAAATTTTTTTTTAATTGATCAGAAGTCTGATTCCTCCAAAAAGAAGTTCTCTGTGTCTCAGCTCTCTGCACACTTGTGGGGCTTGGGGGCACCTGTGTGGAAGAGGAAGACCAAGACTGGCTTATGGGTTTACCTTTAATTGTAAAGGACATACAGACTTGTTAAAAGAATGCAGAATACAGGAATATATGAAGTGAAAAATGGGAGCGCCCTTCTCTGCCTTCTCTTTAACTCCCCGCTCCGAAGTTAACTGTATTCGTCCTGTATCCTTGCAGCTCTTCTTCTGTCCCTCCCAAATACCCCACATCTCCATCGAGATGCGCACGCTCTTTTTTAAAAACAAAAATAAGGTGATCCCGTACATGCCGGTCTGCGAGTTTTCTCTCCCTTTGATGTCAGAGGACATCGTTTTATCAACTGGCAATTAAAATATGTTAGAGCTTAGTGTTTCCAAGAGCCCTTCGTAGATTACTTTGAAGATGAGAATCTTCAGGTTACACGAATAATCGCCCCGGATAACTTTGTCTATCGAGTCTGCGCCCCCCGTGTCCCCACGGCTGGGGATTCAGCAGAGACGTGGAAGAACTACAGGGAAGGAGGCCAAAGGAAATCCCCGGGCGATTCTGCGTCCACAATTTCTCCCTTTCTCCTCTATCCGGCTTCCTCTGCAGAGGTAGTAAGAGGGGAGGCTGTCTGTGTGTTCTTTCAGTTGAGCACAGGTAAGCCTAAGCGCCGAGCATAGATACTCTTATAAGATCCATAATATACCTCTTATGGGAAAAAGAAATCAGTGTTTTGGTTTTTTGTTTTTTTTTTAAATTGGGGTCACTTGCACTCTTCTTCCGTTGTTGAGATCTGTCAAGGACGCGAGATGATTTTCATGCACGCCGAGGGGGTGTCAGGAGCCCCTTCGAAGCTCTCACCCGGAAATGTCCTACACTCACCTCCATAGGTAATAACCCATTATGTGTCTTGACTCTAGATTTCAGCTCAGGTCATGATCTCACGGTTCGTGGGATCGAGCCCCAACTTGGGCTCTGTGTTGACAGCATGGAGCCTGCTTGGGATTCTCTCTCTCTCTCCCTCTCTCTCTGCACCATCCCTACTCATTTCTCTCTCTCAGAATAAATAAATAATCTTAAATAAACAACCCTAAACCTTACAAAAAGTGTGAGGAGGTCCAAGAAGACGCTTTTCTCCCACGTGACTGCAACAAGACATTAGAAAATATATAATCAAGTTAATTTTCTTTAAAAAAAAAAAAAATTAAGGGCCCTGGAGCAGCTCAGTTGGTTAAGCGTCCAACTCTTTCTTTTTTAAAGGGTTTTTTTTTTTTTTAATGTTTTATTTATTTCTGAGAGAGAGAGGCAGACAGCGTGAGCAGGGGAGGGTCAGTGAAAAAGGGAGACATAGAATCTGAAGCAGGCTCCAGGCTCTGAGCTGTCAGCACAGAGCCCGAGGCAGGGCTCGAACCCACAAACTGTAAATTGTGACCTGAGCCAAAGTCGGATGCTTAACCGACTGAGCCCCTCAGGCGCCCCAAGCACCCAACTCTTGATTTGGGCTCAGATCATTATCTCACGGTTCCTGAGTTCAAGCCCCACATTGGGCTCTGCCCTGACAGTGCAGAGCATCCTTGGATTCTCTTTGCCCCTCCCCTGCTCTCTCTCTCTAATAAATAAGCAAAAATAATTTTTAAGAACTGGGGGCCCTGGGGCACCTGGCTGGCTCAGTACTGGAGCATGCAGCCCTTGCTCTCTGCCTCATTGTGAGTTAGAGCTCCATGCTGGGCATAGATACCTCTTCTGGGGAAAAAAAAATCAGTGTTTTTTTTTTAATTGGGGTCACTTGCACTACTGCTGAGTGTCTTAACCTCTGCTGTGTCACCTACTCCCTGAGCTGCTGAACGGACAGTAATCCAGCATTTGCCTGCCTCTGACTCGGTGACGCTACTGTTGGTGACACAATTACAGAAAGTCGCCGGATTTTGCAAGGCCTGCGGAGCTTACGGCCCCACGTCATTCGCAGGAAAGAGTGCCGCCCGATAACGCGGTCCCTACACACAAGCGTTCTTTCCAAGGCCTGGTGTGAGCCTCGAGCCAGGCGCTGCTGCAGAGCGGGTCCGCGTGATGATGGCTTGGGCCGCCAGGTCCCCAGCGCGGGGAGGCTGGAGCTCGGACCGCGAAGGGCCGTTCCCAGGGCGGCCGCCAGGGGGCGCGCGGACACGGCGGCGTCGAACTTCGCGCTTTGTCCCCTCGCGCGGTCCGTCTCCTGGCGCCGCGGCGGGAAATCCGACGGGCTCCTCCCGGCCGCCGCCTCCTACTGCCTTCGCTCGTCTGCCCGCGCCGGTCCGCTGACATGGAGGAGGACAACGCGGCCGAAGAGCAGCAGCGATTCTCCTACCGACAGGTACAGGAAAGTCGGGTCCCGGCCTGGCGGAGGAAGGACGGCATCGAGCTTCTGGAGAGGGAAAGGCCCCGAGCCCGGGCGCTGCTCGGGGCGCGTCCCCCGGGGCGGAGGGCGCGCTCGGGCCGTCTGCGCCTGCGCCAGCTGGGCTGCCGCGGGGGGTGCTGGGAGGCGGTCTCCCGGGTAACGCGGGTCCGAGTCGCGCCGCAGCCTTCTCGCTCGTGATAGCCGCAGTCTCCCGGCTCAGGGGTGTTGTGAAGATGCGGTGTGAGCATGTGAAGGGGATTCAGGCCAAGCACGTAGCCCGGTGCCCGGCACGTGGCTGCCGTGTCGTGCGCGCTCCGTCCTGCGGACGCGGAGACGGCCTGCGAACCTGGGTGCGACGCGGGCCGTGGGGTCCCGGAGCCCATCCTTCCCGGGTGGGTTCCAGCCCCGGCTCCGCAGCCCGAGGGTCGCCCAGCTTTCCTGTATGCAGAAGCCGAGTAACAGTACCCCCCTCCCAGGGGCGCCTCTTCCTCCAGTCGGCTCCGGGAGTTAGTACAATGGGGCAGAGTCGTGAGATCCAACCGTAAAGCCCTAAAGAGATAAAGCAAGAGCCAGGGCGGTATCCTCAGAGAGGGTGAACTGAAGGAGCTCAGTGCGCGGGAGTTCCCTCCTGCCAGTGTTACATTTCAGCCGTTTTGCCCACCGCCTCCCTTCATTTTGAAAAGTGTCAACATTTCAGGAAAAGTTGCGAGAATAGTCCACTCGACAGCCATAGGCTCCTCACCTGGATTCACCAATTGTTAACACTTGGCTGTGTTTACTCCTTTGCTCTCTCCTTTTTTTCTGACTCATTTGAGATAGAATCACAGATACCCTGACCCTTCCCCTGTAAGTTTTAATACTTTATAGTATGCTCTCCCAGCAACGTGGGTGTTCTGCATAGTCTCAGTGATCACACTCAGAAAATTTAATACGGATAAAATCCTATTATGCAATGTTTGGTCCATGTTTACTTTTCCCAGTTGCTCTAAAGCTCTTTCCCCCCACCCCCCACCCCCCATTGGTCTTTTTTGTTTTACCCAGGATCCGGTCAAGGATCTTCAAGTGCATTTAGTAATTCTGTCTCTTTGATCTTTGCTGGACGGGTTGGTTCTCCAACCCCTTTGTCTTTCCCGACATTGATGGTTTTGAAGAGTCCATTGATGGCAAAGGTGTAGCGGGAGATAAAGTCTTCGAGAGCGGAGCTGCCCTCTCCATTTTTGTATTCTCAGCCCCGAGTCCAGAGCCTGGTTCTCAGTGCCCAATAACTGCTTGCCGAAGAGATGAGTCAGGCTGCAGAGATGGGCTGAGAAATTGGTGAGCAGGTTGGAGATCCCACCATTCATTCAACCAGCTGTTCTTGGCACGAGGTGGGCAGTAGTGAACAAAGCAGACAGGGTCGTGCCCTTGAGGGATTTAGGGTCTAGGGTTAGCCTCGAAATGCATTGAAGAAGGCAGTCGGCCCTGTCCAGGAGGCGTACAGAAGGAGGAGGGACATTAAAAAACTTACTGGAATGTTCAGAAGGCTTCCTGTCCTGTTCCCCTAACCCCACCTCCTGCACGTACCTAAAAAAGATGGCCTTCTAGGGTCTTTATCCCGCCCCGGGTGATGGTCCCTTTGTTTTCTCCTGCCAAAGGCCTCAACTTATCTAGTCTTGTGACATGTGAAACTAAGGAAGGTAGTTGCCCTTGCTTATGTGCCTGGCCTCTACCCTTGGGTCCTGGACCTGTGACTCTGCAGTCCCTCCTCATCTTGTCTCAGCTGTGATCACTTGCGGGTAGACTTGATGCTGTCTTGGCTTGAGGTGTCCCCGTGTCCAGCTTGGTTCTGCCTCCACCATAGAGAAGGAGCACGCCTAGGGGCTCGTAAGTTTGAGGACACGAAGCGGAGATCTTGGCTTAACTTTGTTTTGCTTCTTTGCTTCTCTGCATGGGAAAGATAAGTTATTCAGTATCTAAAAGGGTGGCTAAGGAGCAGTGAGCGTCCTGGCGAGGTGGTCTAGCTCACCAACGAATCAAAGGAGGCTCAGACGAGCCCTCACAGGCCTTTCCCAGACAGTCCTGAGCGTCTGTCCTTTGCCACACGCAGATCCAGGGCTGGCGGAGACTTGCAGCAAAGGGATGGCATCCTTTTGCATTTCACCGGATTAACCCCTGTCTGGTTTGTCATGGTTCCTCAAACACCTGGCACATGCCTGCCTTCACTCAGCGGGAGCGTGGTCCGTGTTTGTAAACTACCCGAGTAAAGTCACGCAGATACTCTGCAAGTGCAGGTCTGACTTTTCTCCCCACTGACCTGCCATTGTAATTCCTTCTCTTTACTTGACCTAAATCATAACCATTAACTAGGAAGTAATGTTTCTACAAGTCACACTCCAAAGGGCCCCATTAATTTATTAGTACACTTGAAAAGTCACTCAGCCATTATGGAAAGTGCTGAAGGAATGAGGCCGAGCAGACCCTCTCCTTGGTCTTAATTTCCTAAGATGTGCACAGCTCTTCTCTGCAACCTTACCCATGAAGCATTTTGATTTTCACTTTAGAGGCTCAAAGCAGCCGTTCACTACAATGTGGGGTGTCTTTGCGAGGAAGTTGCGTCGGACAAAGAGATTCAGTTCATCAAACAAACCATCGCAGCGATCTCGGAGGTGACTTTCCGACAGTGCGGTACGAAGCCATGGCCTTCCTCTAGCTGTGTAGACATCCCGGAAGTTGCCTGGGAGAGCCGTGCGGGTGGGTGCCCTGGCCCATCTCACCAACAGAGGAGAACATGATCATCAGGCGCTATTTGTGAAACACCTCTTGGCTGTAAAATTCAGATATTTTATGAAGAGAACTTTTTTATTTCCCTGTTACCTAACACTGGGCATTAACACCTTTATTTTACTGTTTTAAACTGCCTGGAACGCTAGACATTAGATTTTTTTTTACCTCATTGCTTTATAACACTTTTATGTCACCCGTGCCATGGTTTAGTTGACAGCTGGGTGTATGACATTGATATCTGCTTGACGTTAGAGCAAATTAATGTCCTCTCAAGCCCTAACTTGTAGCAAAATTTAAGGTTAAGGGCTAGTTTCATGGAAGGCAAGGTGTAGCCACAACACCCCAATTATGACAAGGAGGCCATAATGAATAAAGTGGCTAAACGCTCCCGAAGGGCCTCCTTCCGCCTGTTAAAGGGCTGTATTAGTCGCTGTGCGGCGGGAGCCGGGGTCCCCTTTCCCTCTGTCTGAAATGAGATTGAGATCAGGGTAGCTAAAGCACGTGTTTTTCTCTTTCAGAAAATTTTGCCAAAGACCTTGAGATGTTTGCAAGGTGGGTCCAGAGCTTGCTTCTCTGCTGCCGTGTGTAGTTACAGCCCCTCCGCGCTCTTCGCCTGCTGCTGTACTTCAGGCCGGCTCTGGTCCCGGGCGTGCCCGCGTGCAGTTTCCGGAGGCTCGTCTCTGATCGTGATTCTGCAGGAATAGAACATCTGCTTTAGTCACGTCCATTCGGCCTTGATTTGGCTGCTTTTTTTTCCTTTTCTTCCTGATGTCTTCCAAGCACGTTTTGTGTGAGAACCCGAGTCGGCCCGTCGGCGGTTACGAGGGGGTGAAGCATGTGAATGTGTGGGGTGTGCGTGTGCTTTTGCGGAGCGTTTCCGCGGGACGCTGTGTGGGGAACCACGTGCCACCTGCCCCGACAGCCTCCCGTTCTCCGCCTTTGTCACCAGTGAGACATACGCTCCCTGAACAAGTGGGTGACGGGCTCTCAGCTGCCTTTAGCTTTTACAGGTGATTTACGCCCCTCTCTTCAATTAGGAGCTCAGGTAATTGAAAACAATTGGCAAGGAATTGCTTTTATGAAGCAGTTTGAATGACGGAGGCCGGCTAGGGCGAGAGCTTTCCGATTTGCTGGCACTTCTGAGTTGGTGCCAGCCTCTCCCGCACTCTGTGCTTTTCACCTTGCTCCTCTTGGCTCCGTGTGGCTTGGGTGAACGTTCTGAATGAATTAAAGCAGTAGGTTCTCGGAGGGCAGACTCTAAATCTTCCCCGTCCCTACGTGTAGGAGTCCCTAAAAACCGCTTAGCATCCTTGGCTTGGCCACCGGGGCTCAGATCACATTATGGGATACTAATAGCTCATGTGGCTTATTCTCTGTTAATTCGGGTGGTGGCCTCTTTCATGGTGCCCATTATCTCCCCCGCCCCCCCCCCCCCACCGCAGCCCCCTCGTCTCCTGTGAAACCCATTTATCACCTTTCCTGGCCATTTCTTTCCTTTTAAATACAACTTTTTATTACAAAGGGTGGCACAGGAACGTAAATAAGTAAGCAGATGAGTATTTAATTTGAGCATGAAGTTTATCGATACAGAGCAGGGTTTCTCGGCCTCAGCACCGTTGACAGTTTGGACCAGATCATTCTGGGTTGCAGTGGGGGCCGCCCTGTGCAGTGTCGGGTGTTTTATTGACTTCTCTGGCCTCTCCCTGGTGGATGCCAGTAGCGTGCCCCCCTTGGTGACTTTTCTTGCCATTTCTGTGTTAGCTGTGGGAAAAGACCATGAACGTTTTTAGATGCTTCTATAAAAATACTACAAATAAAAACGAAATTAGAAATGTTTAGCATTGTAGCACCTTGAGCTTTCAGGCACTCTGTGTTTTATCATTATATCAAGAGGTTGATTTTTCCAGGCACCTGGCTGGCTCAGTCGGTGGAGTGCATGACTCTTGGTCTCGGGGTTGTGAGCTCGAGCCCCACGTTGGGTGTAGGGATTACTTAAAACTAGGCTCTTAATAAAAAAATGTCGGGGGAAGGACTCCCTAACTGTTACCGTGCTTTAAAAAAGAAAAAGAGGTTGAATTTCTTTTGCTGGGTATTTGGTGGGGGGGCGGGGAGAGTGTCATGTTTGTCACTTAGACCGTGAGCTCCCTGGGGAAGGACGTCATCTGAGGGGTCTGTGTGAAGGCTCTCACGCTGCTCTTGTCTAAGTGAGCGTGACAGAGACTCACTGACCAGGGGATGCCTCACCTCCCGCGGGTCCGAGTATGTCCGCAGGTAGCGCCCTGCACACTCCGGCCACCCCTGAGCCCTGAGCCGACGCAAGTGCAGATTTTCTTTGAAGACTCAGCCTTTGTCTTAATTTCATAGTGATCTTCATAATATTTCACTTTGCTGTCATATAAAAAAAAATCCTGTTTTAGAGTATATCACGGGATGAACTTGATATTCCCAGAAGGTCAGCTTTGTTTATCCTGTGGCTTTGTGTCTTCCCCGTGGCCACTGTCTTCTCGAACTGTGAGCCCGACAAGGAGTCTGAAGGTCTGCTTCAGGCCAGCTTAGATGATCTAAGTAGGCTGGCTGGGAACTTAACCGGTATTTGTAACATTGCTTCAGTGAGAAAATGTGTCTAAGTTGGAAATAATTTGCCTGTAAACTTTGGAAAGTTATCTCACAGTTTAAGTTGTGAATTTCCTTTGTTTAACTCTGCAATCTCTAGTCAGCTAATCCTGTTAAAGTGTTAAAGATGTAACATCTTGATGAAGGCAGATACTGGACAGTGAATAAATACTAGGAACATTTTGGGAATAGTCTTTAAAACCTGTGTTGCTAAAAGTGTCCTATGACAGATCGCTTTGTAATCTTCCCTGGAGGAATTTTCTGGAGTTAGAGGTTTGATTTAGGAGCATCTCTGATGTGCCGCAGCCACCATCAGATATACCTGCCCCCCATTTAGGGAAGTGTTAGCGGTAAAACACGGTGCCACGGTACCAGATAACAGGCAGAGTGGGGGGGGGGGGGACTCTGCCATTTCCTAAACGCTTCCCCATGAGCAGATCAACTAACCTTACTCCATCAACGGCTCGGTATGCTGCTTCCTTCCACTTATTCCTTTTGTGGCATTTTGGGAAGAATGTGAAGACCGACGGAGTGGCCCCATGGTGTGGCTGAGGGCCACACTGTGTCCGCGGCACCTAGCAGCCTCCATCCCGCACATCTGGGCACCGCCTTCCTCCTTTGAGGCTGCTCTGAAGTCACCTTCTGACTCTTCCTTTGTGTCCTGGTGCTTGCGGATGGCTAAATAGAAGCAGTCTCCTTTTTTTTTTTTTTTTAAATTGCTTTTAATGCTAACTTATTTTTGAGGGAGTGCCAGAGACAGAGAGCAAGTGGGGGAGGGGCAGAGAGAGAGGGAGACATAGAATCCCAAACAGGTTCCAGGCTCTGAGCTGTGCACAGAGCCCAATCAATGCAGGGCTCAAACCCACGAACCATGAGATCATGACCTGAGCCGAAGTCAGACACTTAACCTACTGAGCCACCCAGGCGCCCCCGAAGCTGTCTCCTGAAGTGGATACTATCAGCAGAGGCAGATCGTGTCAGTCGTGATGAGAGGACACATGATGTTTGCACATTTAGCAGAATGGGAAGGTTTAATTTGGCCAAATTATAGAGTAGAATTTCCATGTGAGTTTATTATTAGTGGAACAGGTATTTGGTGGGGACGTTCTGTGTGCTGGCCGCTTCATTGGTTGTTCAGGACACCTGCCTGCTTGTTCCTGTGTACAAAGTTTCTCCTTTTTTTTTTTTTTTTGGAGAAACCTAGAAATGGCAGGGCGCCTGGGTGGCTCAGTCGGTTAAGCGTCGGACTTTGGCTCAGGTCGTGATCTTACCACTCTTGAGTTCGAGCCCCACGTCGGGTTCTGTGCTGACAGCTCAGAGCCTAGAGCCTGCTTTGGATTCTGTGTCTCCGTCTCTCTCTGCCCCTCTCCCGCTCATGCTCTGTCTCTTTTTCTCAAAAATAAATAAACATTTAAAAAAGAAAGAAAGAAATGGCAAGAAAGGGTGTAATTAGAGTAATAGATTATTGACTAGAGCTCATCAGACTTATCAGCTTCGCCTATTAAAGCCAGGATAAGAGGACTGGAATGAGAATAGCAGTCCAAGTTGTGAGCAAGATACAGACTCCAGTTTAAAGGAGGTTCTTTGGGGGCGCCTGGGTGGCTCAGTCGGTTAAGCGTCTTGACTTCAGCTCAGGTCATGATCTCGCACTTTGTGGGTTCGAGCCCCGCGTTGGGCTCTGTGCTGACAGCCAGCTCAGAACCTGGAGCCTACTTCGGAGTCTGTGTCTCCCTGTCTCTCTGGCCCTCCCCTGCTCACGCTGTCTCTTTCTCTCTTTCTCAGAAATAAATATAACACTTAAAAAAATAAAGGAGGTTCTTTGTTCTAGCCAGGCTGTTGTCAGGGGAGCGCAGTACCTCCCTGGTGGGGAGTGGGTCGTTGGGGGACGTCGTGTGAGCTTTTTCCTGCGACTTCGCCCTTGGAGAGGAACCTCAGGGACTTGTTTCTTTGTTCTTCTACTTAACATCTATTTAAGTGTAGGCAACCTTTGTATTGTGATCCTGTGCTGTGTCTTCCTTCCACTAAGGGTGTGCACAGACGTGCTGCTTGTTCTTCCTGAGGTGAGCCCCGTGGTGGCCCCGTGACCATTGTGCCTAAGCAAGTCCCTACTCGGGCAGGAGGTGGACAGATGGGCTTTTGCTTTCCTTGGTCTCTTTATTTAATTGGTATCTTGGCGAAGTCACTTCAGTCGTTTTTATGTCATTGTTGCTTAATGAATTTAATCTAAAAAGATGGGCTACTTAGAGATCCTTGCTAGTTTGGACTCTGACCATGAACTTTTGGGTTTCATCAAAACTCGAATGAGACTAAACATTTTGGTGAATTGTTCCTGCCCTTTCTACAGACACGCGAAAAGAAGCACAATTAACACGGAAGATGTGAAGCTCTTAGCCAGGAGGAGTAATTCACTGGTGAGAGATGAATTTCTTTCCTCGCTCCCCTTTCCCATCAGAATACATTATTCCCAATTAATCACTTGCAGCCATGAAGTGATTCCCCAGGGCACCTTGCATTAAAAACGAGAGACGGTCGAACCATTCAGACCTGCCCGTAATTTATAGTCTCTCTTTCTTCCTGATGGATCGTACTAAGCCAATTTGGAATTTTCTAATCAGCACTCTCTGGGTTTCACAATTTGCCTTTTTTGTAACATCTCAAAACTTTGGCCTTGCGTCTCATCTACAGCATGATGGCAGAGACAGGCCACAGGCTAGAGTGTGTGGGGACAGTTCCGTTACGGTGGCCACGAGCCTGACGGGCCAGGTATGGGCGGAGGGTCCGTACAGCTGAGACGGGCAGAAAACTGAGCGCGTTTTCTGTCTTTTCTCAGAAATCTAGCAGTCCTCTGGACCCGGACCCATCATTCAGGTGATGCTGGATGATCCCAGGCCAGCGGCCCAGGGCACATCCGGGGCATCTGTGAGGTTTTATGACTAGTGGAATCCTAGCGGTGACAACACTTTATGTCCCGTAACTGTGCTCCCCCCGGGCAGCGACTTCAGTCTCTGCTCCATCTGCCGGGCCTAGAACAGAGCCTGCCGCCCAGCAGGTGTCGGCAAGTAGTTGTCGAATGGGTTTGTACGGCAGTTGACAGTTTACAGGGGGCATTTATAGCTGTTACTTTACATATATTATTTAAACCTCACAACCACCCTCTGAGGGTTTTTAAGAACAGGATTTATTAGCCTGGTTTTACAAGGGAGGCAGCTGGAGTCCAGTAACTTCCTGGAGCCGAATACGAAACTCTCTGATAGCTGAGCCCTAACCTCCTCGCCCGGAATGAGCGCTGCTTCCATGTGCCGGGCTCTCTTTCCCCCTCTGCTTTTCGAATGTCCTCTTTTTAAAGCCTAAGTCAAGGTTAAAGATGACGTGATCCCTCCGGAAAATAGCGAAGGTGGCTGCTGGTGCTGTGTGTCAGCGGGGAAGACGCTCCTCCTCTCTGCCCAGAAAGTCGGGGCGCGTCAGAGCCGTTAGTGGTCTGTTCCGTGGGCAGTTTTTGCAAAGGACTGGTCAGTGCCGGTCACCTCAGAATACTAATTGGGAAGTTATCTGTTTATTGCACATTTGTTTACTTGCAAACATTGTTTTTATTTTGGACTCTTCTTTTTTTTTTTTTTTTTTCATCAGACAGGGTTGCAGCTAAATGTATACATTTGCTGAAATCCTCCCGGAGGGCAGGGACCCTACATTGTGCACCGTCTACCCCTACAACTGGGTGCATATATTGCTCAGTAATGTTAGCTGGATACGTTAAGGGGTGTTGGCTGCACCGGAGCTGGTATAGGGCAGGTTCAGCGCTGGCGTGCCTTCTGCCAGTTCTGCTTTTTTTTTTTTTTTTTTTTTTT